AGTGCACTTCTGCAAAGGGATTCCAATACAAAAAAGTCAATAGCTGCATGGAAGAGTTGTTGATGTATTCGATGAATTGCCTGAACAGAATATTCGGCTTCCTCTCTCTAAAGTGCTGCCAAAGTTCTACGTGGAGGTCGTCCCTCGCTCGATGTATATTGTGCCGGGAACAGAGAACCTCGCCACCAGAGTGACTGCAAGGTATGGTGACTCTGACAAGACATTTCAGTGGATGTATGGGCAAAGTAAATGTCATTCTTAGAGGAAAAAAGATAGATACCTTACTAGGGAAACCTTGAGGGGTGGTCAAAAATCAATCCCGACTTCAAGCAAAATAATACAGAATCCCACGTGGTCGCAATTTGGTTTGTCATAGAATCTCGAAATTTGTAAGCTTAATAGCTGTAGTTGGCTTACGGTGGTTGTTTCATAATTATATGCAAGTAGTTTTGCAGCTGTATATTTCCTCGATGGTACTGAGTTCCAGAGTAAAATATGTCTTTTTGTGAAAACACTTAACAGAACCAGCGTTTGCCCTTCATTGCTCAACTTTGTCTCTACGGAGCGCACATTTCGTCTCTTTGTGGATAAAAGTCTGATTATAACCACACACAGATCAGTGTTATTCGCCTGATCTAAATGATATCTATAGTTTTGGTCAAAATGAATTTCACGAAAATGTCGACATTAGAAAGTGAAGTTGATTTTGTCCAAATTTAACTCGCAAAAGGCTATTGTGTCTTCTCAACCGTCCAAACCACCACCGACGGTATGGTTGGCGCAGAGATAGGCGTGACATGTCACCATTGAACTGCTTGATAGGCCTCCATAGGGCTTTTTAATCATGGAGGCCGGACACCGGTTGGTTTCAAGTAGACCTCTCTCATTTTACCTGCTACTTAGATGACCAATTTTAAAGCTGATAGCTCATTTCAGGCTCGGCAGGTATTACTTGCCTCATTATGATGGATTATTATTGCTTTAATAATTTTGTTTTTGATAGTTGTAG